AAGGCTGACTGTTATCTCTCTCCATAGCCTGGATTCAAGGTCCAGCTCAAGGGTACCGGCCTCTGGGCAGAGCTTTCCCCAGAGGCTGAGCAGGGATGTGGGGGAGGTTCAGGGAAGGGAACCTGGCCTGTGCTTGAGTCCAAAGCCTGGAGCTATGGTGGAAGCTGGCACCTTAGCCTGTGAATCCCCGCCCTGCCTCCTGCACACCTGTCTCCTCTGCTCCCAGCCAAGGATACAGCTGTCCCAACCCAGGGCTACCTACCCACGCATGAATGGGTCAGCTGTGTGGTCACTCTGGTGGCCCGAGCATTTGCCACCGGTGGTTCCAAAAGAAGATGTGAATCCATTCCTGGAGTCCACCCCATTGTCTGTCACACACAGCCATGGTTTGGAGAAACCGCTTATTTCCAGGAGGTGGCTGGAGGAAGCGGTAGGGACAAATGTTAGGTTTCTGCCGAATTCTCTAAACACTTGTTGATGGAGTGAGGAGTGCTCTAGGCTGGCCCCTGTAGGGTGCTGGGCATCTGTAAGTTACTATTCTCATGGTAGGGACCAAATAACTGACAAAAAACAACTTGAGGGAAGGAGGGCTCACAGTCGTAAGGGACGCCCATCCCAGGGGAAGATGTGTCACAGGACCATGAAGTGGCTGGTCACATCGCATCTGCAGTCAGGAAACAGGCGCTGGTGCTCACCTTCAGGGTGTGGTCTTCCTTTCTCTGCTCTACCTCTCAGGAAGCCCCTTCACAGACATTCCTTCTGAGAGGTGTGTTTCCACGGCAATTCCAAGTCCAGTTAAAGTGGAAGGCCGAGCATCCAACATCGGAGGGCACTAGCTGAAAAGCATGTCCTGGTGCGCACCTCCCCACGCCTACTTCCGAGAATGGCTTCTGCTCTTCAGCTGTGGATGAGCACAGAGGCCAGGCTGCCTGGCCCGGGAGGTCATTCCCAGCTCGGCCACTTGCTAGTGATGAGACCCTGGGGAGGTTGTTTGTCTCCGGGTCTCTGCTCACCTGAGCACCTGCTCTGCAGACCCTGTGCCCCGCAAGGGCAGCTGGACAGCAGGCAGCATCTGAAGAAAGCAGCGTCAGTGGAAACTGGCGGGGACCATTCGTTCCCTGGGACAGAAGGAAGAAGCAGAGCAAGGTCAGGTGGATTGCAAGTGGAGGCAGACTGATGGACAGGCTGTCTCCTTTAAAAATAGGGGCTTAGGGGAGAACCTTGAAGATCAAAGTCTTGACGTGAGGGGGAGAATCTTGCAGATGTGTGGAGAAACTTCACTCTGGATGGGGCAAACCTGGAGCAAAGGTTCTGAGGTAGGAGTGAGCTCAATGAAGGAGGTAGTGTGGAAAACAGGCCCGCATGGTGGAGGCGCAGGAGACGGGAGATGGGAGGGAGACATGCTACATTAATTGAGTGATATATAAGATGGAGATATGTGCTTAAAAAACGTTTCCTCTGCATAAAGGAGGTCTTCAAAACACGCTCCTCCCCATCCCTCCCCACCCCTGCTGCATCTTCTGAGAGCACAGTCTGAAAGTCCAGTGAGAAGAAGCCACTATTAGTCTCTCCTGCAGTGTGGGCAGAAATCCCCAGGACTTCTGCCCCGCCACATAGTGTGGGAGCAGAGCATGGCCTCTGGATCTTTCCCCTGAGGTGCCACATGCTGATCCTGTGTGTGTGTGTGTGTGTGTGCGCGCGCACGTGTGCATTCGTGTGTGTTTGTGTGTGTGTGTGTGTGTGTGTGTGTGTGTGTGTGTGTGTGTGTGTGGGCGCGCGTGCACATGTATGCATATGGAGGCCAGAGGATATGGAGGCCAGAGGGGGATATTGTTTTCCTTAACCACTTTCTACCTTCCTTATTTATTTATTTATTTATTTACTTACTTACTTACTTACTTGT